GGGGGGGGAGGGGGCGGACCCTCGCAACAGCCCCTCGCCGGCGTTATCACAACGGCAGGGCCCTCGAAATGGAAACGCCACTGTGTCAGCCGTCGACAAGACAATTAAGATCGCATGCTTTACCTAGTTCGCCCCGCTCGACTAGCTGCCGGCTAAAACGCTCCCCCGGCTTGTCGCTACCACAACGACAGAAACACCCACCCCTCGCGCTCGCGGTGCCATGCCAATGAGAGTGGCCCTGAAGGGTTGCAGGGGGAGGTAGAAGACTTGAGCTGCGCCATCACCTTCCAGGCGAGACGCCCCCCCCCCCCCCGGAGTTGCCTACCTGCCGGGCGGAATGGTAAGGGCCATGACACACGGCCCGCCCCCGCCCCTTCGCCAAAGGTTGTACCGGCAACAACCATCCCATTTGACTATTCGACTACCCCACACCCCCGCCCGCACCCCCGCCCAGCTAGGACTCGCTTCTCACGGTCTCCTCCCCCCCGCGGCTGACAGCCTCCTCCACGCACCCCAGCTGCACCGAGGCCTTAACTGCCTTAACTGCACCCAACTGTAACGCGAGGGGCACCACGAGGTTTTCAAGCCGGCATTGTCAACTCCGGATCGGCGAGGCCGCGCTCCTGTAGCTGACAGGCCACTGACAATCGAACCCGTGATGACAGACACCGACGTTCTCTCGGCCTCTTGAAGGCCTCTGTTGGGGACTTAACGGTTAAGACACGGCCTTAAGACGAGTGCGCAGGTCACCCGAACCGCCTGAACGTGTTCAAATTGTCGACAGTGCCCGTTAAACCAGGCTGTCAGCGGCCGCAGGGTACGCGACGCGCGAGGCAACCACTTGTTAACCTCAAAAGCGTCGGACCCAACGCATCGTTCTCCAGACTTACCATGGACGACCGGGACGTTATTCCAAAGGAGCAGCACCAAAGCGGTAGAAACCAGGAGGTAATCCACAGGCCTCATGTCGGGGTACGGTATCCACTTAGGTAAACACTTTACATTATCTTGTTCCACTCACACACCGCATCCAATATTTATTTTTATCACATTAAAAACCACCACACACGCAAACACTGAACACTGATGTTTCCTTTCTCGCCACCTTCTTGCAAACACTGCCACATTCACGTGAGTAACACATTTGAGGTTCGAACACTTCACACATTACACACACACACACAACTCACTATTCACTTCATCGCGGTAAACACACAACGCACTCAGACGCGGCCCTCACGGTCGGCCGATACGCGCCGGGACGCGGACAGGCGCAAGCTGAGGAGCTGCTCTCGCCGCTGCTCGCTCGGGCCCGGCCACCATTGTTCCAGTCCCCGAGGATGTAGTCCGCCGCGCTGGTATCCCTCCGCGCTCCAACTGTGGGAAAGTTCGCGGCCGAGCCGGCCGGGTCTCCCGCCGCTGTATCGCATAGGCGATGTGGCTGGAAAAACTTCCCTGGAAAACAGCTGGTGGCTTTCCGTGCTCTTTATCACGCTGCGAAATATTTTGGCAGAGAAGGAGTGAAGAGCGTGTTCGGACTCTTTTCTTGCGCGGAGCGGCTGCACCGGGATGCCCGAGCTCTGCGGGGGAAGGGGTGGAGGGTTCATTCGCATTCCCGACTGGAGCGCTGGACGACTTCGGGTGACTTCGGGTCGGATCCTACAGTACTTCGGGTTTGGGGCGTTCTACCAAACACTTGCTGTTCCGTTTGGGCAGTTTTGCTTTCCACAACTTGACAAGTTTATATGCTTTACCACTGTGCCACGTAAATGGCTTATAAAGAGAGAGCTCTAATATACTCGCTGCCTCATTCGGAACAAAATATAATTTTCATATTACGAAGGAGATCTCTGTCGCGTTCCATTTGTCATTCCCCGAGGATCGATGCGTCGCAAGGATGCGTTGCTCGGATATAGTCGGTTGTTTATTAAGTGGGAACTGTGTTGCTATGCTAATCTAGTAGCGAAGCGGCGAATGCATATGCTCTCGTTACAATTCTGTTTATTAAAAGTTTTAGCAAAATCCACTTAAAATGCCATTTTCTTCTCCCGTTGACGAAAATGATCTAAATGCCACAAATAAAAAAATAATAGAGCTCAAGAAGAAAATTCAACTCTCAGGTGAAAAACTTGTCACTAAGTTAAGTTTGCCAAAACAATAAAATTACTGACTGATCAATTTTACAGAGGGTCAGAGAAAAGCACACTATGAAGAGTGTGAATCAGAGAAAAAAAGGAATGCAGAGAAAATCCGACTTCTAAAAAAAGAAGTGAAGGAACTACGAATAAAGCTGAGCCAGCCACCTAGAGTAAGCAGAAGGCGTCCAGAATTTTGAAAACACAAATTCGTTTTTTGATGTTATTACGTTTTAAAGTGAGTTTTGGTTTCTAGTGCGATGGAAATGTCCTTAAAAAATACTGTCACAATCCCAAAGATACATTCTCACTTCGGGAGAAAAGAAAAGAGGATGCTGTAGAAATTATGGATTTGAAAGTAATAGATTTGAAGAAGAAGTTGGATCTACTAAGATACCAGTCTAAACAGGTAGTCTTCATTATTGAGGGTTAAATTTTGAACTAAAACTACATGCAATTAAAGCAAAAATTTTAAAGCATCAAGAAAAAATGAAATCACTGGCTGATGAGTATAAAAAACTTATGCAAAAGAAGCAACAATCACGGCTCATAAAAAATAAATCCGAAGCTCAAAAAGAGAGGGTAAGTTCTCTTTTCTTCCTTTGGTTTTGAAAAATATCAACAATAATGTTGATGATCGTTATCAGAATACTTTGGAAAACCACATTCATCGAATTGAAATGAACATGATGGAAGCTGACCATGTAAAACGCAAGTACCTCAGCATTAGAGCAAGCCTTCTGGATGACAGTGTTGAATTTGAAAGCAGTTTGCGAAACATGGAAGATGTAATAGTGAAACAGGAACATGAAATCAAGCATCTTGAGGTTGTCAAATTTTCTCCTACGTTGCTACAATTTTGCACAAGCACCAAGTTTCACGAAACTTTGCTCACATCTCTTATTATTTTGCATGAACAGCCATCTCAGGCGTAGTGTTAGTTTGTTTTCTTTTCTTTCACACTCTTTTTTTATAGAAAGGTATGCACATCTTTTCAAACATCAGTATTTTTACGAATTTAATTCCAAGGAATAAATAGTAAAATATTCTTTACATTTACTTATCAGGATATAAATAGTGAGGCTCTTTCGTTGAGAGATTCAACAAAGTCAATGCTACTGCGACAAGAAGCTTCAGCTATGAGTATAAGCAAGGCAAGGGAGAGACAGCTGCATGAGTTCAAGTAGGTGATTCCTTTAAAACATGATGGAAAAAAATAAAGGAAAAAAAAAAAACTTGACAGTAATATTATAAAGTAAATCTCATAGTATTAACTGCAAGTTGATGTTTACATTGACACAGGATGAGGGTAGAGGAGCGTAAAGCTGCCCTTGAACAACTTGAAAGAAGAATATTCCCCACTGGGAGACCTGTCATACAGCGAGAAGATTCCCATGGAACACCAGATTCAGCTCAAGTTGCAGAAGATGATTGTACTCGCAAGACGGAATTTTATGAGAACGCCTTTCTGAAGTTAAAAGAAGCAACAGGTAATTTAAGTATAAGCTATGACTGCTTTAGAATTTTCTTAAGTTCCAGAAACTTTTACAGGAGTGTCAGAAACAGAAGAAGTGCTGCAACGTTTTCTTGGACAGAAAGAAACAAAATCTCGCCTCACTTACCTCAGGAAGAACACAGAAGATGAAAAGAAAAAATTGGAAAAACGTAAAGAAGTTATGTTGGCACAGTTGGAAGCGTTTAAATTTGCTGAAGTTAAAGACAAAGAAGTGTAAGTCATCAATTATTCAGTTACTGACTGTACCTGGATTGTACCAGATTGTTCTACACAGAGAATTATATGTTTCAGCAATGTGGAGGAAATGGAACAAGTGAAGCTCAACATCAAAAAGAGAAAAGATGAAATTCTGAAGCTTGAAGAAAATATAAAGTCTGTGTCAGAACAACTTCAAAATATCAGAGATATACTACATCGCATCAGCACAAAAATTGAGGTAGAGCCTAGCACAAATTACCTAAAAAATTAATTTGTAGGATGCATCTGGACGTTTTTCTTCAGTATGACTACCAGTTTCATTTTCAACAGATCATAGATGATGTTAAAGTCCCCGATACCACGGATGACTTACGTGAGGTTGAGAGTTTCCTTAACATCCTTGAGCAGAAAATCCAAAATACTATCTCCCGGACAAATCTTGTCTCTGAAATGATTGACCAGATGAATGAAGGTACTCAAGAGCCAGGTGAAATTCCAGACAATACATTAAGTGTTGTATCATCACAGATGCCAACTCAGCGCACTACAGCTGTCATGACAACAGCAGAACCTACACCTCAGGTAAAAATCAAGATAATCGTAAAAAAAATAAAAATCTGAATACCGTACCATGTATTACGCAATACTAATTTGTCCTGCATTATTTTAGGAGGGCCCTTGTCCAGAGGACTTATGGCAGTTTTCATCTAAACCTGGAGCTGCTCTCAGTGGGAGTGGGGTGGCTCCAAATAGAAAGGACATTGCTTCAACAAGTGCACCTACAATCCCTGAAGCTGATGAGGAAGAGGAATGTCCCACAAGAAGCTTTCTGAAGAGACAAGCTCAGTTAATTGTTGACGCTAAATCAAGAAGGAAAGCTTTCAGAGGGGTTTCAATAATAAAAAGCAGAAAATAACAAAGATAATAGGTGTCTAAAACAGTTACATATATTCACAAAATGTATTATCATCACAGGAAAGTAAAAAAAAATAATTATATGCATGAGAAAAATAACCAGGCCTCAAGTTTTCTGAGTTCTGGTGTTTCAAATCCTGGAGAATGAGAACCAAATGTAATTTACAGAGGCATGTTTAATATGCAATTAAAAAAACAAAAAACAGAAAGACTAGTGTGCTATGAATTGATACTATGAACAACCATGGTAAAATTTTCTTAAATATTTTAAAATTAGGTTGATAGAAGGAAAACAATGTCAGGCCAATCATAAATAGCCCACAGAATACAAAAATATTAGTAGAAACTGCAACAGCATAAAAATTTTGTTTCTACAACACTTTTCATTAAGAGCATAAATTTAGCCCCCCAACAGTTTCTGTATGACCTACACTTACATATACTTAACCAGCCAAAGACAATCAAAGAGAAAAGTACCTATCTTGTAATTGCATTTAGTAAATTGCCAACTTTTACAGAACATAACAATCTATTTAAACAATACACAACACTCATTTAAAAATAAAAGTATTACACATTGAAGTTTTAGCAATGCACCCTGTTTAGCAAAGAAAAGAGAAAAAATTCCCAGATTTTACTCCACACATTCTTTCATAAATGAAGTGCAGCAGTCATTTGCAAGCATCAGATACGCACACAAAATACAGCAAGAAAAAATCAATATCCTGAACTTGCACAGATTGATCTCACTTGGAGTAGCCGAGTTAATGTCTTTTAACCCAACCAATATCACAGAAATAAAAAGGGAATCTTGTTTATGAACCACAATATTATCAATGTGGTTGCCAGTGTTACCTTTCACACTTCACCTTCACTCATAAAACCTTTCGACGTTAAGATAGAGTACTCTTCCTGTAGCCTTCAAAACATGAACCAACTAGCTACAGTAAATTTTGTTTTAATGAACCGACTAAATCATGAAATGATGGTACAGTTAGCGCACTACACTTAAAAAACCACCCCACAAAAATACTCAACTTTTAATCGTATTACTAAGTTAAAAAAATAAATTATACACTATTTTATAAATATTTTTACAAACTTGGTCCCATTAAGTAAAATTAGTCATGTATCATTTAGCTAGTAGTTGTAAGTTAACAACTTTTGCCTATGGTTTCAGACTCCATAGTCTGGTGCTGATTACTCAACAGCTGGTTAACTATATAAATACAGTATGTGTAAGACCATATGTTTGAACCAGACTTTTTGTCCTCCTTTGGCACATGTAACTGGCAGTTGATGAACGGGTACTTAAAACAATAAAAAATTGATGAGTGGGTCAGAACAGGGAACCTGGTTGTTCTACTACAACCTTTCTTCCTTATTATGGGCGTAATAGAAATAGTTGAGTCGAAAGTCAGTAAGATAAGAAATACCTAGGCAGAAACATTTCGTTGGTTTTCTGAACTTGCAACATCCTAGCACTATTTGCACGATACATGTTTTAACACACTATGAACACAAAGTGGTGCTTAAAGTCTTGCAGAAGCTAGTGTTTAAAACCCAGTATAAAACACTTCACTGAAATGCTGTTTGCAGCCTTTCAGATAATCTTTTTTAGGACAAAAAATTACAACAAAGTAAGCATAACATTATAAACAATCCGCCTGATTTCCCCACCTAAAATGTCAATATTACAGTGGGAAAGTCGTCTTAAGAATTTAGTTCACATGGATTACCTATGACCCACCGCATGTCATTTAAAATCAGCAAACTAGAAAAACTAACAAATTACGGCAGTGGTTAGTAAATATTATATTATGGTACACAACATATTTACAAGCAATATGCCAAACAATCAAAAACATTGTAAATTACAAAAATTTGAACTAGAGGCAAACACATCTGCCTTAACTCCGGATTGCCAATTTTAAATGATAGTATATTAGGTAACAGAGGAACTCACATTAAGAATAGTATGTGCAACTATTTACTAAACCAACCACCATACTTTTCAAATAAAACATTAGCAATGAGGAAAGAGGACAATAGGAAGAGACAATAAGAAACATGGTGAATAGTAACCTCCCAAAACATTGCAACAACTTTTCATAGGGATCTTCAAGAGTCCATCTATACATCCATACCAAAGGTAAAAAGTGTGCTGCACATGGATTCAAAAATAATTCTACTTCTCCCTCTTTAACAAGTTAAGGGCCCTAAAATCTGCAGCTAGGTAAAATAAATCTTTTTTAAGTTGCAATCTTTTTAAGTTGTACTAAACAGCTCATTCCATATATCTCCACTAGCTCTTTGACATGATATCACAGTCAGACATTACAAAAGACATAACTGTTGTCAGGAAGTTGAAGTCCCATTAAAAGTTTTTCTGTTCCATTGTAGATACAACAAATTTAAAGCCTCTACCCCAGAACGTCCTGGATTCTACAACTCAATGAAAAAAAAGGTCATCACTTGAAATAAATCAAGATGAGGAAACAATTATTGGCAGTTCAACATTTTATTATTGATATTCATGTTATGATCAAATTAAGCCAGAAAAGTATAGAATGACAGATGATCTAAAAAGAAAACCTTGATTAATGAGAAATCAATTGAGTTGGGTAAAAAGGTGAGCAAATATGAATATCCATATAGGTAGGTACTTTAAAGTACATATGCTCAGTCATAAAATCACAGTTAAAATAGAAAAATTAATTGAATTTTTTAAACTGATATCCAATATCATCTATCATTTCATTTCTGATAGAAATTCTTAGGTATGGCAGACACATTTTGACACTTTACCTATAGGTGGAATTGTCACACAACTTTAAGTTGATTTAGGAAACATATGTAACACAATAAGACGCTTTGCGTGGTTAACAGACAATGAAAAATTTCAAAATCCATTGAAAGATACTTACAGGAATGATTTGCTAGTTAACAAGTTGGACAAAATAGAATGACTGATTGTTTTTTGTAGGTGCAAATGGGTTTCTAACCAAAACAGAGTATAAACTCTTATATCACATTTTATAACTAAGTACCTATGAATCTAAACTTTGGATAGTCTCGTGAAGTGAGATTGCGCAACAGATTACCTATATTGTATAGTCCCACTGTATTAGATACTCAACACCATCTGCTGTAACTCTTCTACCTTTAATTACGAACTTTTCACCAGCAGCAATTCGGTTGCGAGCATTAAATATAGATTTTATATTTCTTTTAACATCAGACACTGACATTTCTTCAGGTTTCACAAAAGGTGATGACGATGATGATTCACCTTGTGGAATGCTAACATCTGTTGTAGTTTCTGGAATGGCTGGTTTGTGGGGACTTCTTAGAAGCTTGCCACCTACAATACGTTTTTCTAACTTTTCCCCAGAATCCAAGTGAACAGTTTTGGTTCCCAAAGTTTGATTTGATTGAGCGCGCCTAAACCTGCGTCTTTGTTTAACTTGTCCATTAACAATTTTAATATCTTTTTCACTTAACTTTCGTTTAACAGCTCGAGCTGGTGGCGGTTCTTTGATTACAGCCGTTAATCGAGGCAAAGAAGGTATTAAAATAGCATCTGGCTGCGTCTCCTTGTCTAATACTATTGGCGCACCTATTAGATCAGCAATTGTTGGTAATGGAGCACGTGGCTCAGAAGGACCTGCAGAATCCTCATCAACTTCAGTATCAGCTGGTGTGGAAGATATTGATGGAAACACTGAATCAGTAGCAGGTGATGCAGTTTGTGGAGTGTCCATTGTCTCAGACAAATTTGTCTCAGACAAAATTGTCTCTGACAAAAGTGGGGTCCCAACAAGCAATTGATAGTCTGTACATGGCACATTGTTTTCCTGAAAATATAAATGCATCTTAGTTATTTTTTTATAATCAGGAGGTGTATACATACAAACACACAATGGCGTCTGCTGAATTACAGCATTATTAAGACAATTAACTAACCTGATCATGATTTGTAGCCAGTTGTTTTTCCTCAATGTTTTGAACTTCACGGATTTCTTTGGCTTCACTAACCTCTTTTTCCTCCGCGTTGCTTATTGGCTTGAATACATCTATGCTATCTTCATCAGGAGCGGAGGTGGAAGCACTTTCCAGGGTTCCAGCCTCACTCTCCTCTCCACTTGAGTCATAACCATCTTGGCTACAATCATCTGCATCAAGACTCTCCTGGTAACAAATTGTCATTGATTAAAACTTTCCAAAATGAGAGAACAAACAACACAGAAAGAAGCAAAATGAAAATTGATTTATTTTCTTTTAGATGTGAAATAAACTCACAGCATTTGATGAAAGGTAATTTTCATCCTGAGAGTAGCTTGTTTGGCTGTCAAGTGATTCATAACCATCCTGACTGCTGTTCTCTTGCACTTCATCACTTTGATCACCACCACAAAGATCCTTCTTTCCAAGTGCTTTACTTCTGGGAGAAATCCTATTGCGTGAGCGCTTATTTCGACGTAAAGATTCTTGAAGAGCTAATCGGTTAGACGCACATAGGGCAGATGATTTTTTAGCATAACCAGTAAATGCCTCAGTTGTCAAACAAGCCTAAAAGCAGATAGGTAATGTTCCATTAAAATTGCATTGCAATTAATTCACTGTGTATAAAAAAAATCTTCTTTCAGTAAATTTATTTACCTGCCCTCCATTTACCGGTATTGATGAAGAAAATATATTGCGAATAATACTAGCATCTAGATTGTGAATGCCAATAGCAACCCCTCTTAAGTTTCTAGAAATTTTTTGTAGTGAATTTGGAGCTTGTCCAATCATTAACCCATAGTCAAAACTTGTCATGCAGCCATTTGGTTGCAAAACAAAATCACCTCTCATTAGATATTTGGAGCTAAAATGAAAACGAATTAAAAAGAAAACAAAATTAAGAAAAGACAGGCAAAATGCAATATTGCTACAGAATATTTAATATGAAAAAATAAAGGCTTACTCCAAAGGCGCTCTGAAAGTAATATGGCACTTCTTCCACCATGTTTTGACAGCATCATCTGTTAATGGACGCACAGGAGGAAGAGAAAAAGGAATTCGCTTGGGAGGCACACCAATTCTTAAGCCCCAAATTCGTTTCCTTGTTTTAAGTTCTTTTCCAGATTTGAATCTGCAACTCCTGTTTGAAGAAAAACGTTTTTAAACTATTCATGGAGAATTAATATCAAATAGATAGATAGATAATGAAACTAGAATATTACTTGGTTGAGTTATCTTCAAGCATCTTCAAAATTATCCGCCTCAGTTCAGAATCGCTACATTTCACCAACTAAAAATAAAAGAAGCAAATTAGACCACCCATAGGTAAGATTGATTAAAGATGTGATTATGTGATGTAACACAAACCTGAGCTGGTATTTGAAGGTAAAACCAATTGTTTTTAACATAAGGTATAATTTCACTATCCAGATCGAAGTACTTTTTCTTCTTAAATA